TCTCTTACATTTCCTGTCTCTATCTAGATCTATCTGTCTCCTCCTTACTCATAACCTCTTCCCCCCGCCCCCACCCCACCCCTCAGTTCCTTCCAAACTCCAGTTATTCCTCTCAGTTTCACATCCATGCACTGCATAAGGCTTTAACTCCATCGCCCTAGACATGAAATCGTGAACCTCGCCCACGCTACCCGCGTTTTATAGGCCACTCACAATGGTCATAATCTTAACTTATGGCCTTCTGTGCGTAGAGACAAGGCCGGTTCATCCACATCGCGTTGTCTCCACACGCGCCTTGGACGCCCCCCTTGACCGGTCCCAAAACGACTCCCACCCCCCCTCCCCAAAAAAAAGAAATTAAAATTTAAAGAATAGACAGGCCCTGGGATACTCTTGTCACTTGCCAGTTGCCGATTCAGCTATGTTAAGAGTTTAGAATCATGTGACCCCGAGTTCAACTGAAGAACAACAATGTGGAAATGGCCGGGAGTTGCCAGGGAACGCTCAACAGAATACTGCCGTCATAATGCATAGCGACGTATCTGACAAAATTCCACTTTTTGGTTGTTGTTTTGTGTTGTTGTTTGTTTTTTGTTTGTTTTGGAGTTGTTTCTTTTTCGATGGGGGCATTGGTTGGTTACACAAGTTTTGAGCATATCGTTATCCCTCGTGTGCTAAAGGCAAGACAATATCTGCATTACATCTCAACGCTGTAAATTACGTACTTTACTGATCTCAAACACATTGTCGATGGTCGAATGACGCATCTGAATATCGGCATAACTATCATTAGAAGCATTCATAACTTTTTTTTTTCTTCTCAAAATCTTGAAATGCGTAGTTACGTTGCTCTGCCTTGGATAGCAGAATAGCCATAATGTGAGGGCGCACAGGGAAGAAGAAAGAAGTGAGGACGCTAGGGACACAGTGTCTTCGGAGAGAAGCGTCTCGAGACTTTGATAATCACATAAAAGAACTGAAAAGATCGGGGACAAAAGGAAGCGGATGACAATGGAATGTCAGCGCTGTTTGCTGTTGTCGTTTTTGTGTTGATTCTGATTCTGTTGCTGCTGGTGATGATGCTTTTGTTGTTATTGTTGTTGTCGCTGCTGTTGTTGTTGTTGTTGTTAATGATGATGATGATGATGATGATGATGATGAT